GAGGGGTGACTAGCGACAGAGGAGTGGGAGGGGGGTGACTAGTGACAGAGGGAGGGGGTGACTAGTGACACAGTGAGTGGGAGGGGGTGACTGACTAGTGACACAGTGAGGGGGGGTGATTAGTGCCTACCTGTCTCTCTGCTCCCTCTGGTCTCCAAGGCTGCTGCTCCTTCCCCTCTCTGATGGGCTCTGTGTGAGAGGAGAGTACAGGAAGTGATGTCACTTCCTGGCCATGCCTCTCCCATCACACAGAGCTGCATGGGACAGGAAGCAGGAGACCTGGCAGAGAGGGAGAGGAGGTAATCCTGCCAGGTCTCATTAAGTGAGAGGGAGGAGGGGGTTATATGCTGAGCGTAGGTTGTGGAGCCCTGCGATCCATCAGGGGAGATTTTTTTTAAAATTTGCCATTCCAGTTGGAGAGATCTCTAATCTCTCCAGCTGGAGCATGGCTGTGCGGCTGGGCCCCTGGCTGTCTCGGTCCCTCGGTCCAACACCGATATGCCCAAGTGGTCAGTCCGCCCCTGCCAACCGAGGCATCGCGCCCTGGATTTTCTGAGCAAGTTGTTCATAGAATTGGGTGATGGGAATAGGGGCGGTTCAGGAGTTATGTTCAGCCCTGTGGTCTGATTGTGTTTCCCCCTGTTGTGTCTCTGTAGGGCCCACTTGGCTTGTGTCAGTGATCAGGCACTCATACCTCTACTAGGCCCATCAAAGGGCGTGTCAACTGGGTCTGTCCCCGGCAACAGCAGAGGTACAATGGTTTAGGTTCCGTGGTATGCGGTGGGTGCAGGTGGTTCCGGAGCTGGTTCGCTTGTCCCGTCTCCTGGGAGTTCTGACATGCTGATCATCCATCTTGGGGGCAACGATCTAGGCACGATCTCTTTGAGGGAATTTTCTAAATTTCATTTTGCAGTATTTATGTGCTGTTTCCAGACCTCTGTCTGGTGTGGTACAAGCTTGTGTCCCATAATTATTGGAGGTTTAACATAGATCAGAGAGCCATGGATCAGTGTCAGGTGAAGCTCAATAGACGGGTTTCTAGGTTTGTGTTGGGAGTTATGGACTTTATGGTGCGGCATCGGGTGTTTGAACGGGAAGCAGCTATGTACTCTCGGAGTGATGGGGTTCACCTTACTGATGTGGAGTTGGATCTTTTTAACTTGGCGTTGCAAGAAGGGTTGGAACAGGTCATTTTTTTTCTCAGTGGTCACCCATGCTGATTTTAGAGGGTAAAACAGCAGGGTCTTGTGGTGGGTGGTTGTCCTTGCCAATCGTGGGTTGGACTGGGGGAGTTTAACAGGGCCGATCCCTCCCTTAGCTCTTTGAAATGAAGGAATGGTTTATTATGGACGTGTCCACTGAGCCAAAAGTCGGCTAGTGGTTAGCATGGTGCTGATGGAAGGCCAGTTTTTGTGGCCATTTTTTGTTGCAACAAGGGGAACGAGCAAGTGCCTAGGTGAGTTCCGAGGTTACAGATAATTAATTGGCAAGGAACATTGTTAAGTTATATTGTTAAGTTATATTGTTTGATGTTCAAATTATTAAAAGATTTTATATATATATATATATATATATATATATTTGATACAAAGTTAATATTGGTAATATTGTTTGGTGAAATATTTTAATAAAAAAGCTGTGGCCTATTTTCACCAACTATGTCTCATGTCATATTATTGGAATGTAAAGGGGGTATAGGAAAAGGGCACTACACACAACTCCCCACAAGAACTGAACAAAAGCAAAAAAAAAAAAAGTTAAAACTTGTAAACTCACTTTGATGAGTAAGTTTGCACTTTAATGCCCATTGGAATTGTAAAAAAAACACTATGATATTTAAATGTGCATAGGGATTTGGGATAGTGCACAGGTAAATTTTTTCAATGTAGTAGGATCTTCAGTGCAGGCCTTAATTTAATGTGTTTGTATATGTATTACACAGCCATGTTGAAGTGCTTCTGCCAACACCCTATGTGTACTCTAATAAAAGTCAATAAGTGTGCAGTGGTTCAAGGTAATACCCCTTTCTGTTTCATAGATGATTTTACCTTTTGGCAGATCTCACCAGGATAAATTGTTAATGTAGAACTCACCTAAGAAGTTTACCTTGACAGGGCAGGTAAACTTGCAGTTTAGTGGCGATTGGAGTTGACCTGAAAACAGCCTTTTATTTAAATATGCGTAGTGATTTGGCTTACTGTGCAGGTAATGTTTTTTTGGGTTTTTTTTAATTATGAGTAGTCCGACGGGTTCGGCCGAACATTGAAAAAAAGTCCGGGTTCATGATCGAACTTGATCCCGAACCCGAACACTATTAAAGTCAATGGGGACCCGAACTTTTGGCCACAAAAATACCCCTAAAAAAGTCCTGGAAAGGGCTAGAGGGCTGCAAAAGAGTAGGATGGGGGAAAGAGTAGGACAAGTGCCCTGCAAACAAATGTGGATAGGGAAATCACTTAAAATAACATAAAATACCTAAAAATACAGCTAAGCCATAAAATAGCACTAGATAGAATCTTTGATTTTAGCTTTGGAAGAACATAAATCAAAATATAAAGCATGGCTGTCAGGAGGATCATCAGAATTATCCATTTGAGAGAGGGTTGGAGTGCAGGGTATTCTCTTTCATTGTTCAAACTGAGCTCAACTCCTGGTGCATGGAGAAAAGGCCTTCACAAGCCTTTGCTATTGTGTACATAGTTTATACTAAGTGACCCATAGGTTGAGGAGGTGGTGACCCTGGTGGTGGAGGTGGAAGCTGCGGTGGAGGAGGAGGAGGTAGCCAACACTGTTTTTATATATATATTTTTTATTTTAATTGGGGTAGTACCCAAAATATTGGGACATACAAAAAAAGAAACATTTGCTGCCTGTGGTGCAATTCTTGCGGTCCTGATGCATGGAGAAATGCTCAACTCCTGATGCATGGAGAAAAGGCCTTCACAAGCCTCTGCTATTGTGTACATAGTTTATACTAAGTGACCCATAGGTTGAGGAGGTGGTGACCGTGGCGGTGGAGGTGGAATCTGCGGTGGAGGAGGTAGCCAACACTGTTTTTATACATATATTTTTTATTATTTTAATTGGGGTAGTACCCAATGAAAAATATTTTTATAAACTTTAACTGTATTCAACGTGTTGTAGGAATGTAGAAATATTGTAAGTTATTATTCTAAGCATATCCAGACATCGAGAGGCCTACCCAGATACATTACCATCATAATGTAATTTATACACATACTGTAATTTACACACATATGGTTTTAAGTCAAGAATGATGGATGGAGACTTGTGGACCCTGTTGATAATAACCTTTGACCTAGCCTTGTAAGCCTGAATTCCTGTGAAGGTTCACATTTCTATAGGCAATCATTCATTCCATCAGGTAATTAGAAGTCTCAAGAAGGTCTTTGTGTGTAACTTACCAAAACATCATAACGTATGGCTTTAATCATAGATATCGAATAATACTAAGTTACCACCTATTTTTTCTTAGATAACCAATTATTGTAAAGCAGGCAAACCTTATGTCATTATGTATACGCCCTATGTAATTGAATTTTAAATGTATAAAATCCATTGCAGCTAGAATTCCAATAGTAACACCAACGACCAATACCTTTTAACATCAAGCTTGGATAAGATCTAGAAGTGAATATACATTGTATATTGGTCCATATGATTTTAAAACAGACTTTTGTTGTTACCGGATGATGTGTATATTGTAATAAATATACGGTTTTAACTGCAAGACACTCTGATTCGATTTGTTCAGAAAACTGGAAAACAAATATCTCACGGAATGCAAATTTCCTACACCCAAAATATTGGGACATACAAAAAAAGAAACATTTGCGGCCTGTGGTGCAATTCTTGCAGTCCTGATGCATGGAGAAATGCTCAACTCCTGATGCATGGAGAAAAGGCCTTCACAAGCCTCTGCTATTGTGTACATAGTTTATACTAAGTGACCCATAGGTTGAGGAGGCGGTGACCGTGGCAGTGTAGGTGGAAGCAGCGGTGGAGGAGGAGGCGGTAGCCAACACTTTTTCTATATATATATATATATTATTTTTTATATTTTAATTGGGGTAGCCCCCAAAATATTGGGACATATAAAAAAAGAAAACTGTTCCGCAGAGCGACTGACCCGTGCATGCTGCATCTGAAACTCCACTATCTTCTCGCTCATGAGGCGGTGAGCGGGAAGGCTGAAGTTACGCTGCAGCGCAGACAGGCGAGCAGCAGCAGGGTGAGAACGCAGAAAGCGCGCATAGCCGCTACAGTGAATGTCACATCCTGTTCCAAGCTGCAGATCAGTCTGGTGATGGCTTCTGGTATCCAGTACTCTTTTTACTGAAACTGTATCAGGGTCCTGATATGTGGCCACACAAATGCTGGTGCTCAACACCAGGGGGCATGTGGTTACACTGCACCAGACTCTGATAATCCATTCCACACTGTGATTCCTAACTTCTACATCAGGCATACTGGGTCCTTGTCGTCCGACCGCCGCACAGACAGTGTCTGGGTCCCGGCCACCGGACTGTGAATGGCTCGTTAAACCTGTTATGGTTCTTTTTATTGCTTCAACTGTTACTTGGATAACTGTGGGAATTCTAAAGATAATACATGCCAACAAGCGCTAGGGGACGGCTGTTCCACTTTTGCACCCTGCTCCGTTTTTTATCACTTAGATCTGTGTAACAAGTGTTGTAGGTGTGAAAAAATATTACCAGTGACTGATGTAGTAAATTCAAATCCTAATGTCCTCCCCCTTGCCCCCACCCCTGAGCAGGGGATGGGGGCCCTACAGTAAAATAAGGGGGGGCCTAAATACTAATAAGGAGGGGGACCTAATGTCCTCCCCCTTGGCCCCCACCCCTGAGCGGTGGGTGGGGGCCCTAAATTGGAATAAGGCAGGGAACCTTATGTCCTCCCCCTGGAACCTTATGTCCTCCCCCTGAGCGGCGGGTGGGGGCCCTAAATTGGAATAAGGGGAGGGACCTATTGTCCTCCCCCCTGGCCTTCACCCCTGAGCAGTGGGTAGGGGCCCTAAATACTAATACTAATAAGGGGGGACCTAATGTCCTCCTCCCTGGCCCCCACCCCTGAGCGGCGGGTGGGGCCTTAAATAAAAATGTTACCCCCCCAGGTGATTAGGGGTCCCCAAACCCCTAGTGAACCCCCCCAAAAAATAATTAACCCCTACCTACCCCCTTCACCCTAAAAATAATGAGGGGGACCTTTAACTAAGTACCTGTAAAAAAAATAAAACTTACCATTTGATGTTTTCTTTCTTCTAAAATATTCTTTCTTCAGCCCCAAAAAAGGCCAAATAAATATCATAATAACCGACGCACTTAAAAAAAAAAATAATAGCATAAGAATGTTTACAACTGCACTGTAAGCGCAGTATTTGACTCTTCTATTTGACTTTCAGATATGAAGTGAACTCCACTAATGTACTTGTTAGCACCCAAAAAAATTTAAGTTTTAAAACTGCAATGTGACAGCAGTATTTGACGTTTCTATTTGACTCTCAGATATGAAGTGCACCTCACTAATGTACTAGCTTGCAGAATTCTTTCCTAAGCTGTCCCTCACAGCAGCAGCATCCTCTCCTTCACTAATAAGACCTCATGTGCGTGCGGCGCTACGCGACTCCAGCTTATATGTAGAGGCTGGGTCACATGCTGCACTGGCCAATCACAGCCATGCCATTAGTAGGCATGGCTGTGATGGCTTCTAAGGGCACATGCGTCAAACGCTTGTTGATTGGCTGCCCTGCAGCCTTTCAAAACGCACCATTAAAGTGATATGTCCGTGTTCAGGTCCGGGGGCCAAAAAACGTAATGTTCGGTACGAACCCGAACTTTACAGTCCGGGTTCGCTCAACTCTAATTATGAGAGCAGTAGAAAAGCATGTCCACAAGGGATATTATACATTGGATCAAATCATGGATGGAAAGCTAATTATAATATGTTTCAAGCTCCAAAACCAACAGACTTTTTTTTACACTGCAACCAATGTATTTTTTTTAAAAAGAGAAAGGTGTGAGACAAGTAGATTCCATCCCTAAGAACAGGCCAGTTCTATTTGTGCCACCAGTGAGAAGTCATATGAAATCTCATATGACATGTTATTACACATGGTAATCTATTTGGTTCAGTAGCTTAATGAATACTGGAAAAACAAAAGAACACTGAAAAATATATTTTCTGAACATATGGTCAGGTAAATACTGATGGTCCATAACTTCTGCAAATACTTGACTTTGCTTCGGAACTTGTCTCTATGGACATGGAGAAAGTAACTCTAGATTGGAGAGATGGTAGCACAGATAATCAACTAGAGATAATTGAAGCTAGGTGTGTATTTGAATTGCATTAAATTGACTGGATTCTAAAGGTCTGAATGTGGATTTTGACATTCATTCATTCATCACTGATAAGCCATCCAGATCTATTTTAAGTAGACTCTCTCTTTTTAACTATCGACTTATTATCTGTGTATTAATTTCCAATTCTCTCATTGCTTTATATTTAAAAAATATATATATATTTTTTTTAACTTTTTTTCAGAGTTATGGTTGTCAGTTCCTATTAAAAGTCATGTACTATCTATCGGGATTATTTTATTTAAAAAAATATAACATAGCTTCTATAGGATTTTATGAAATGATAATTTTATTATTGAAGAGGTTACTATTATATTCTATCATTCATTTATATTTAACCTTTTAGACTCATGTCTCGGCCCTATATTTTCACATTTTAGACATCGGGGGCTAGCTAGCCAGTTAGTTTTTACTGATGCATTTTTTTTTATCCACTTATAAATGAAGTAAAACTATTGAAATATTCTTCTTTGAAGGATTGAGGTATATTTCCCTACTCTCACAAAAAATGAGTTTTTATATCCTGCAGTTTTGTCTGTTGGATGTTTACTATTTTTGAGACATGGGATTTGGATCTGTTATATTGTTTTGAAGTCTGAGATCTGTGGATTATAGTTATTATTTGCAGGTTAAGTAGAACTTTAAAATGGCTAAATACCACCATGACTAATTTTTATTTTTGTATTTTCTCTATTTTATTCTAGACTGAGGGTTTCTTTGCAAACAGCAGCTACTCACTACTATGCCTGATGCTATAGCTGTTATCGAGTATCAACTGTTTCCCAACTGCAAAATTTTACAGCTAGTGACAGGAGGTTACTGGATGCTACTAGTAGTCACTAGTCACTAGTCACAAACCAGTCACTAAGTAGCAGCTCTCATTATCTCATTTAACTTTAACTTAGCGACTGGCTTTCAACCAATTTACAACACTGCTGCTAATACAAAAAAAAACAACTTTGGCCCGATGGAACGAAGTTAAAAGAACAATATAGTGTTAGAAATACAAAGCTGTACTCCTAACACTATGGTACTCCACCATCATCACCACCACCACTGTCAGCACTATTACAAGTGCATGTCCACCCATCCATTATTTAGTAAATATCCCCACCCACTGTCCATGAGTGGGGAATGAGGGAGAGTTTCCCCCTTATGAATATTAGAAGGAAAAACACTAGCTCACACTTTTATCAATATTAGAGTCTCACTTGCCAACAATGGATGGGGGCTGGGGTAGTCTCGATGTCCAACTGTAGCAGCATGTCAGGCTGTTAGTGGAGTTATAGAGCTATTCATCTCTCCTGCTACATGCTGATGTGATGGACAAAAAGCACACTTCAACAAACATATTGCAGCAATTACGAAAAATGGTGTCAAGTTGGTTGGAAGATAAGGCAGGCAATTGGATACATGGTCACCGACAGAGCTGCAAACATGGCCAGGGTTCGTTTGTAGTTGTGGTTTGTTCTGCATACAACCTACATCTTGCAGTGAAGGTTGCAATTCACAAAGCCAATACAAAGCGCAAACCAAACTGAGCTTTGCAGAAGATTGCCAGGCTACCGTTGTGTGAGAGGTAGCCAACTCTTGGGACAGGAGCGAGAAAAGAGAGCTTATTACACACCATCTATGACAGAACATCAGCACGTGGTGGAATTCTACTGTAGACATGCTGGAAAGAATCTTGGAAGAATCTTGGAACCGCAGAGGTCAATCCATAGTCTTTTCCACTGTGGTGTGAGAGGTAGCTAACTCTTGAGACACGGGCGAGAAAAGAGAGCTTCTTACACACCATCTATGACAGAACATCAGCACGTGGTGGAATTCTACTGTAGACATGCTGGAAAGAATCTTGGAACAGCAGAGGTCAATCCACAGTCTATCTTCCCACCACTCAACTGGTGTTGATTCTTCAGTGGAGTGTGAGGATTGAGCAATAATAGGACGAGTGTCAGTTATTATTACATTTAGGTATGTGACAGAAAATTTTAAGCCACAGTAATGCCAGTTTGGGACAGGTTATCTCCTTGTTCATCCACCTCATAAAGAAGACAGATGCCTTCCTGGAAAACAGGGAATTAGTTCCTACACAATGCTTATTTTTGTGAATGAATTGCTAATTGTCCAGAACTGATGCTAGCTTCCCTGTGTGATCAAAGATTAAGGGTCTCTGATGCAGCCTGACACTGGAGGGTCAGACTTGTTAACAGTCCATGATTTGCTGCAAAAGAGAGGCTTGGTATATTAGGAAGATGTGCATATTGAACCTACCATGTCATTGTCTACTACTGCCACCAATGGCAGCATAACTAAAACACAGCAAGTGAAACAGCTGTGGTTTGGGCTGAAGCATTTTTAGACAGAGAAAGTGAGTCAGCAAGCTGCCAAAAGGAAACTATTAATGTCTTTGAAATA